ATGCACAGAATGATGGCAGAAGGGATGGCCAGAGCAAAGGAGAGCATGAGGGCCGTGCTGCTGGAGAGGGAACAACGGGGAAGCAGAGATAGCTGAGGGGATGGACCTGCTTTCCAGCAGTGGGTTTGTTTTCCAGTTGCATTTAGTCATGCCCATGTATCGTGTTCCTAAGGAGACATCCCTGAGTAACTTCTTTAAAAGCCCCAAGTCAATAAACAGATCACAAAGGCACATGTTCTTTACCCCTGGCATTTACCCTGACAGCTCATGAGAGCATTTTGTAAATCCAGAAAGAGACAGGGAACAGCAGATCCCTCAAGCAAGTAATTGACAGAGAAAGAATAGCCTGTCACCCAGGAGAGCTGGAAGCCCTGCCTTTCGGTTACAGGTTATTTAGCTTTACTGGGTCTTGATTGGCTGGCAGTTTTCTAGAGCTCCCTCTGAGCAGATATTGTCTAGACAGAGATGGTGAGGACATACTCTGATATTTGTCTCTGCAAGGAGGTTTCTTTTTGGTGTTGCCATCCTGGGGGTTAGCTATGATCCAGTGCCCATGATTGGAAACTGCCATGGACTGTCAGAGCTAGAAGTGATCTCAGAACTGATCTGATACCCTGCCCGTTACAGAGAGCTACTTGCCTTGTCCCTCCCCAGGAAACTGCCCTGCACAGGACTTCTAGGATGGTTCTTGCACATGGCTCTGTGGGCCTCTGTGAGCCGTATGTCTTCCCTACCAGCCTGGGAACCCTGAGGCCAGAGATGTTTCTTGTCCCTCCATCTTGTGTCCAAAGTACCTCCCTCAGTGCCTGGGCTGGACTAGGTGCCGGTAACTGTTTAATGAACCGAAGAGAGAGCAGACCCAGACCCAGCTGACCAGACTCCAGTCGCACATTTCCCGCTTTCCATGCCCACTCCCTGCCCCAGCTCCCGAGGAGCACCCCAATGCCAGTTGTAAAGGAATGAGTTGCTTCTGTTGTTTGGCATCTGGAGTTTATTAGGTACTTACTGATAGCCGTCAGTTGTAGATAGGGCTGAAGTGCAGGGAAATGGCTGCCTGCATGGAGTGAAATTCAATAAAACCACATTTTTAAGTGAAAAATCAGTATAAACACCAGGCTTCTTTGCCATGGAAACAGAGGTTGCTTAGAAACTGCCTAACAGCGAGTTCTAAATTTTTTAAAGTCAAGTTATCATTTAAGCTACACGGCCCTACAGGTTATTGAGAGATAATCACTCGCCTCAGGATACTTGGAGGCATGAGGCACAGCTGAGTGCCTCCTGATACTCTGGGGACCAGATAATCTCTTGATAACTGTGCTCCCTGGAGCCACTGATTTGGGCCTGGGGGAAGGAGAAAGAAATTTTTGTTCAGGAGTTAAATGGTGTACATATATATTTTTTAAAGTGTTTCTCTTTGGGTTTGAAAAAAGATGGGAACTGGCCATTTGGCATGTTCAGCAGCCATCTCTGCCTGTCTCAAGATGTATTGGGAACATTTTCCAGGCAGTTACCCCAGTCACTTCAAAGCAAGGTCCTATCTTTGTCTTCTGGCTTTGGATTATGCAAAAAGGGTTTTCAGCAACTTCAGCTTTGGGCTCTTCACTCTCAGGGTCCCTCTTCCCAGCTCAGGCAGGGCGGGAACAGGAAGAAGTGGTTCCAGAGTTTGGGACAAAGCCTGGCCTGGAGCACTGCCACCAGACCCTCCGGGCCTCAGGCTCAACTCCCTGGGGCCTAAAGCCCACAAGAGGGCGAGTTCAGAATCTGTTGGTGTTTCGAGTTCAGCCGTCTGACTGCATGGCAGGGTACTTGCTCCCCCTTAGGCGTGAGGAGGGCAAAGTATATTGCATTCATTTCTTCCTAAAAATAATGGGGGAAATTAGAATCCCATTGGCTGGGAGTAGGGACCCCCACCAAGGCAGTATGGAGAAAATTGTGAGTGCAAAAAAAGATAATTTTTTGCCCTTTCCAGAATATCTGAGAGTTATCCATGGCATGGTGGGGCTGTCAGGATTGGTAGTGATAATTATTCCGTAGACTGACTCTCTCTTTCTCTCTATGGAAGGAGCAGTGTTTTCATTACATACTTCAAAGTGTTTCCCGGCATCTCATCTCCTCAGAACCTCAGAACAAACCTGTAAGGAGGGTAGATGGGGCTGATCATCTTCCTTTGGAGAAAGAGGAGACAGGTTCAAGAGGCAAAGTAATTTGCTCCAGGCCACAGGGGCAGGGAAGGAACTTGCCCTGTCACCTGCCTTTCTGGGGCTCTACCTCTTTAAGAGCAAAGAAATGAGACCCAAAACAATCCTTCCAAGAGTTTGGTTCTTGCTTAATAAAAGAAGGTGAACTTTACACACGTTTTTCCTTGCTTTCCTGTTAGCGTTTTATTTGGAGCTCTCACAGGGCAAGAGTGACTTATTTCCTTTTCTTTTCCTGCCAAGGAATACAACATCTGCATTCAGCATGTTCAAAAGGGCTCAGAAGCCGGGCTCGGTGGCTCAGCCTGTAATCCCGCGCCTTTGGGAGGCTGAGGTGAGTGGATTGCCTGAGCCCGCGAGTTCGAGACCTGCCTGGGCAGCAAGACCTCATCTCTACAATAAATCAAAAAATCAGCCGGGCGTGGTAGCGCATGCCTGTAATTCCGGCTACTTGGAAGGCTGAGGCAGAAGGATCTCTGGAGCCCAGCAGGTCGAGGCTGCGGTGGCCAGGAGCGGCCACTACACTCCAGTCTGGGCGACAGAATCCAACTCAAAAAAAAAAGGGCTCAGAAAATGAACACTGCAGTGTTTTCATGCCGTGTAAGTCAGAGTACAACTATAACTGCATCGAGTCAGACCGAGGCACCACTTTGCTGGATGTTACCCAGATAGAAATATTCCTCAAAGCTGGGAGAGCACCATACTGGAGCTTGAAAAATTGTTCCAGTTCTTGAAGGGGAAAAAAAATCAAAACCATTTGCATTCTAACAGTCTTTGGCACCAGGGAAAACTATCAACTGTGTCACGTGTAAATAGAAATTTGCTCCCCATTTTTGGTGCGGGTTTTTTTTTCTTCATAATTTCCCTTGCCACTCTAATTATGAAAGATATTTTTGTTTTTAAACAAAAATTGTCTCCCACACAGGCCCCATCTCCTTTCTGCGGTGGAGTGGAAATGATGAATTAGAATATTCTAATCACTTCTCTAGCAGCCACCATGGAGGTTATAAACACCAGATTATCCTAAGCAAAGAAAACTTAAATTTGTAGGCACAGATGGGCCAGGAAAAATTCCAGCATCCCCTGCTCCCTCCCCATGTCCTTCCTGCCTCCCTGGCCTTCTTGGCATATGGCTGTTAAACCTAAGGAAGATGGTAAAACTGATTTCACCACAAGGCCCAGATTCTGAGGGGACAAGTTTTTCAGATTAATAAGATTGAAAACCAAACTTTACTTCCACTCAGCGAGCATTTGAGTTCTGCCGCATGCCCCACAGTCTGCGAAGGGCTCCTGAGCATCATAGTCAAGATGAAAGTGGGACTCGTCACATCAAGGTGATCTACTGTTGGCGGATGGCATGTGCTAGGCTCTGGCGAGCTCGATCTGGGTCTTAAACTTCAGCAACACCCCAAGTGAAGGGCAGCCCTCATCGTTAGACATGAGGAAACTGAGACGGGGCAAGTTGAATCATTTCTCAAAGCCGCACAGTAGTGATAGCAGTGATAACTTGACTCGTGTGAACAGTGTTCCTTGTTCCTTTCCTAGAGGTGAGAGGCTGACCCCTCCAGATCCTTTCTTAAAATGTCAGAGTTCCAGAGAGGGATGTCATCTTTAGTGGCTAGTGTGCGGCGCAGTATCGCTAAGTATCACTAAAATGAGAACCTGTTCAGTCAACAAATATGTACTGGGTGCCTGCCACATGCCATGTCAGGTGCCCAGGATACAGCAGTGAACAGAACAGACATGATCTCAGCCCTCAGGAAGCTCATATTGCAAGAAATGGAGATGATCAGTACACAAGTAGTCGGTGTGTGCTGGGAAAGGTGTCCTAAAAGAGAAAAACGGGCAGCCCATCTGGGCAAAATGGTCTGGCAAGGCCAGCCTCTGTGAGTAGGTGATGTACAGGCTGAGACAGGCAGGCTGGTTGGGAGGGCACAGCCCACAGGGAGAGCCTCATCCTTCCTAGGATCGGAAACCAGGAATCATGCTTGAACTGTTCAGCACAGTGGCCTGGGGCACATGATTGATATTCAGAAGCAGCATTTGAGCAGCTACAAGGCAAGGGTCATGACTCCAAAGTTCAGGCCAAGACTGACACCTCACCCCTAGTGGGTATGTGGATCCAGTGGCCCGGCCCCATGAGTTCTGTCTGTGTCATATTAGGGACATCAGTGCTCACTGTCAGAGGCCATGGGGCAAGGCCTGTCCTACCCCAGGAGAACAAAGAAGCCCTTTACCCACCTGCAGAGGACAGCACGTTCTGTGGGATCTGATCTCACTGGAGCCACAGGTATAAGTCCAGGCCATGAGGAGTCCAGGGCGCTCAGTGGCCAGAAGGGGCCACCGAGTTCAGCAGCCAGCTGGAGGGCCCACAAGGAGGCTCTTGCAGTGGCCCTGACCAGGGTAGGGAGCCTAGTGCGGCCCTATCCACCCTGCCCCCGGCCTGAAGCCAGTGAAACCTGCAAGGAGGGTGCACCCTGCCATCTTTTTCCTTCTGAAAACTCCTGCTTTACATCCTAGAACTTGGCCTGTTTCTTTGCCAAGAGCTTGTTTACTGTCAATATTGTTCTGCTCAGACTAATTACTGTTTCTCTCTGTCAATGGATATGAAACTGTTTACCTCTATTCTGCTGGGCTTTGGGACCTTCCTACTGGTCCTGTCTTATGAACTAAAGTGGGTTTGTTCTCCTGTGGGAAGCGATTTGATATTATCCATTTCTTCTCAAGTGACACATAGTCAGCCTCCTGGGTGCAGCCACCACGCCCCCTCTAGGTACCCTTCACTAACCCTTGGTCTCCCCACAGTGTCTTCCTCCACTTGATGAAGGTAGACCCGGACTCCACCTGGCTTCTCCTGAACGAACTCTACTGCCCCGTGCAGTTCACGCCTCCCCACCCCAGCCTCCACCCCGTGCATCTGCGTGAGACTTCTAGGCAGCAGAACCCCTACACAGCCAACGTGCTCTACCTGCTCAAGGAGCTGCAGTGACTTCACCCCACACTGGGCCAGTGGACACCACAGAGGCCACCTCCCCTTCCCCTGCCCACCAGAAGTTGGGCTGACCCCACCCTAGCCAAAGGAGACAGTGGCAGCAGCAGGGAAGGTGAATTAGACAGCCGATCGATTTATAAATTGATCGATCACACAATTGCTTAGAAATTGCATTGAAGGAAAGTAGCTGACTGTTATTTGTATTTCATACCTTGTGTTTTCAGATGACATTGTCTGGCAGCTCTAAGGGTTTAACTCCTTAGCCTACCATCTCCATGGCCCTACTGCCTCTCAGACCACCCACACACACTCACACCCATGAGCACTTACAGACATGCTGGACCGAGTTCTGAACAGAGCCAATGTCTTCTGAGTCCCTGAGGGCCATGTTCAAGTATCACACATCTAAGAACCTTCAAAATACAGCCCTGCCGTCTCTTTCTTTCTCTCGTTCTCTTTCACGCACACGTGCGCCAGTCCCCCTCCATCCACATCCTCTCCTCAAGTAATGAGATGGAACTAATTTGTTGTACCTAACCTGTTCTTTGGGAAAAAAAATGAAATAAAGGCACTTCTTGGATGATCGGGAGCTCACTTTGAAGTTCGTTATTTAAATTGAGTGATCTTTTAAAAATGAGTTTATATTCCTAAATGGATAATACAGAACCATGGTATAAAACCCAAACAGTACAAAACAGAAAACGGTGAAAAGTAAATCTCCCCCTCCTCATTTCCTGGCCATCTGGTTTCTCTCCTTAAAGGCATCACTCGTAACAGTTTGTTGGATATCTTTTAAATAGGAGATTGACTTTTTAGCTTTTACCTGAGTGATAGTGTAATGAGGCCTGCACAGTGTCAGGCCTGCACAGTGTTACTTCTGGGTGTCAGCACTTGGCCAGTCTTGCTGCCTCTACGCCTACTCATTTACCTTCCCGCTCCCTGGATTGTTTTGAGACAAATCCCAGATGTTGCACCAAAACGTTTTTTAAAATGTACAACCACAGTACCACTATCACACCTAAAAAAATTAACAATGATCCTTTAATATTGTCAAATACTAGCCACGGTCTAAATTTCCCTGGTGCATTTGAATCCAAATAAGTTCTGCACATTGCTGGCATTGAGTTGTCCCTTCATAAGTCTCTTTTAACTTGCAGATTCCCCCTCAGCCTCTCTTCTCTTTTCCTTGTGAGTTTGTTGGTGACAAGCAAGGTCATTATCCTATGGCATTTCCCACCATCTGATTTACTGATTGCATCCCTGTGGGGGTCCTTTCACGGGCTCCTCTTGTCAACTCTTTCCTGTAAATTGGGAGGCAGAGTGGAGTCTGTGATGTCTTAGTTCTGTCTCTGACAGCACTTCTCTGAAGGTGGTATTTACTTCCATCAGGAGTTGTGTGTTGTCTGGCCTCTCACTGTGATACTAGCAGCCATGGCCACCTTGCTACAGGCACTCGGTCGTCAGGGACTGTGAAGTAATGCTGCTAGAATTCCGCCAAAGCAATGTGTAAAGGGGCCCTCCCTTCACTAACCGTCTGGTAACCTAGTACTATAGTTTATTTAGAAAGGGCAAGATAAATGCTTGACATTTTTCTAGCTGAGAAATTAAAAACACAGATTATGTAAATCTAGGTTCACAACCCCCCACACACAGGTGTAATGAAGGATCCGGGAATGTTGAGCGCTTCTTCCCCTTACCATGACGCATGGTAAGGCCCCGGCTAGGTAATTCCTCAACCATATGGATAGCCCTAGCTCTAAAAACCTAGACGGTGTTTGGCATGGAGACACACAGGTGTAAGGGTCCCAACCAGCACCAAGAGATCTCACTCAGTTCCTTTTCAGCTCTGCCTTGCAGGGCAGCGGGTGTCCAGCTCACGCCTGGGGGCAGCAGCCTGGCTCTGGTCTGGCTCCGCCAGCAAATCCTCAGGGACCCTTCTCTTCAGGCTGCAGACTAACGTGGAGGGGCTGGATCAGAGGGAGAACTCTTCATATTTTGAGATTCTGGGCCCCTCCACGCACCTGATAAAACCTGAGACCCACTCTCCAGAAACAAGTCCACTCCTTCCCAGCTGCCCCCAGGAGGGCACTGCATCCCCCAGGACCGCAGTCAGGCACCATCTTCTCATCTGCTGGACATGCTCAGCTGCCAAGATTCTAGGTGCAATTCAAGGCTTCACCTATGACCCCTCAGGGACCTCAAGTTAAGAAGCCCTGAAAGAGCAAGATAATCACTTAATTCTCTTCCACCTTTAAAATTCTGGGATGATTTCCTTTGGGAAAGGGAGGGAGATGCCCTCTAATTGCGGGGATTGTAAAAGGATTCACTGCATTGTTCCTAATTCCACTGAGGACATAAAGTGATAGGCTAATTCAGTCTCCAGGTTCTGACAAATGAGAAAACAGGTCAGGGAGGTGGTGTGACTAGTGGAGCGTTACAGCTGCTCCTGGTGAGATTCAAGTCGGCTGCCTTCCCAGAGTGTGACTGGGAGCAGCAGGCCATGGTGGTGTGCCTGCCCAGGGCCCGGAGCAGGTGCGCACACATACCCTGATAAAACTCGACTCCAGGAAAGCTCTTCAGAAGATTGACAGCATAGGCAGACTTGCCGTGTGCTCCAAAAACCACCTCTTCCACAAAGAGTTAAGATATCCTGAGTTGCTTTCAGATTCCTGCAGGCAGATTGTTGCATTTGATTAAAAAAAAAAACTAATTAGAGCGCGTCTCCAGTTATTATTATATTCAGGCAACTTTAATTTTGAACCTGTCCAGCTGACTCAGTCGAGTCCTTGTTAACGAAGGCTTTGCAGTGATCCCTTCCCTTTGCCGAAATCTGCTGGTGCAGGAGGGGTCTCCTTTTGCTCAGGGTGCACCGGCCCTTCTGGTGTTGGCTGGCTCAAGTCAGGGTAGGTAAAGGATGGACAGGCAGATTCTGAAAGGCCTTGAGTCTCGGGGTGCGGTGTCTGCGTGTGACCCGCAGGCAGTAGAAGGCAGCAGGAGCACATAGATGATCCGGGGAGCCCTGTGGAGGTGGCTGGAGAGGGCTGGCTGTGTCCTCAGGAGGTACCACACTGTAGAAGGAACATGAACAACTTGGAGACCATTAGAGCCGGGCTTGCTTTCTCAGCCCCCCTCTTGGTAACTATGTAGCCTTGGGCAAGTCATTTTACCTCCGGTCCCCTTTTTCCCATCTCTAATGAAGGTGCTGCCTGTGCCTCTACAGTCAGCTGCTTCAGGAGGAATAAATGCCATGGGATTTCTAGAGCATCCAGCACGGTGCCTGGGGCTCCAGCAGCATCTTTTCCCTGCCGCCTCTCCCGTATTGCTCATGGCTTTGTTAGGGCTACAATACATACTCCTCCAGACAGAGCTCAGTAATTACATGGTCAGATCTCACTGTGAACCTCTCAGAGATCAAAGAGGACCACAGTAGGGAAAGAGAATCAAAGAAGGCTTCTAGGAGGAGGTGAGGTCCTGTTGGGCAAGCAGACCTTGGCAGGCAGAAGATACCAGCATTCCAGACAGGGAAAATACCATGCCCAGAGTCACAAGGCACACCTGCCAGTGTTTGTACCCATCAGAATTCAGTGGGAGCATCATGAGGCCCGCCTCAGCTGGCTGGAGCAAAAAGAACTGTTTTGGAGCACAGAACAAACAGGTGCATAGAACCAACAGTCCTTACTGGCTCAGACCATCTCTGTCTCTTGATTCTGCTTTCCCCATGGCAGTTTAACTCTCCCACAGCCTCTAGCTATAACGTATTAGAGGCGGCCGCCAGCAATTCTGGACTCCTGTGCCTGCGTGTGACACACCTAGTGAGTGTGCGCCTCCTTCTCACAGCCCCAGCTAAAGTCCCAAGGTTTCATTTATTCTATTTTAGTCTGAGAGAGTCTTGCTGTGTGATCCAGGCTGTCCTTGAACTCCAGGCTCGAGCACTCCTCCTGCCTCAGCCCAACAGTCCTAGGATTTGCTCTCATCAGCTCAGCCAGTGTTTTGCAAGCCTCAAACCAAGCATTGTCCATTTCCAACAGGTGTCGTGAGCTAGAGGGAGTCTCCTGGGCTTTGCGGAGTCTCTGTGGCATCCAAACATTTACAATCATTTAAAAATGAAAAAAATCATTATTAACTCAAAGGCTTCACGAAGAAAATAGGCCAGGGGACTTTTTTCTTTTTTTCCCCTGCCTCTGGCCCTTAGTTTGTCAACCCCTGATTACAGCATTCTTCTGGGCAGGCCCGGAGGCAGGGGTGGCCAGGTCAGCTCACCCAAACCACATGGAGGGAGTTGGGGTGGAATGGTGCCCCTAAAAGAAAGTCCTGTATTCACTTACCAGGAAGAGAGATGGTGGTTGGGGAGAGGCAGAAGTGACAGGCATTCACCACCCAGATCTGTGGGCTGTGGCGAAGCGTGACCTGGCCATCTGCGGGGTGTGTGTTAGGAGGTTGTGGGAACTGAGGCCACATTTATGGAGGGCCCTGAATGCCAGTCTGGGCATCCCAGTCTCAGGGGACCAAGAAGTGGCCTCAAAATGTTCTTGGATAGGTGAGTAATGTATTGAAAGAAGCATTTTAGGAATTTTCATCTCGTTGCTGCATACGGGAGAGATTGGAGGGGAAAGAGACTGGCAGTGAAATTGTGTTTCTGAGAGTCCCAGGATGAGAAAACGCGCCTCTTCCATCAACCCAAACTGTTTGACGTGCCCTGGTTCATGGGCAACTTGAGGCACATAAATATGTGCTTTAAAGTTTAAAGTAAGAATGAGATGAATGGACACTCTGATGAGGCCTCCACAGGTTCTGGTGGGTCGAGAGGCCCTGGAATCACTTGCTGTTGCTCCAGCTGTGACGAACAATGCCTGTCTCTGTCCTTTTGTGTGGCTCACCCCAGGCCTCTGTGTCCCCGTGATTGGAAGCCAAGTGTCCCTACTGCCTTTCCTCCAGAGTAAGGAACAGAAGCCACATTTCGGAAACTAATTCTGAGCAATGGTGGACTCTGGGAGCATTGATGGCTTTATAAATGGCACTCTGCCCTTGCCCCACCAACCCCCCGCTGAAGTTTGGAGGCTGTGGCTTTTCAAATTATGCTGGAAAAGCAGCCTGATTTCCCATGGGAATCTTCTAGATTAGGAGCTGTTCTGCCTTTTCCGACTGCTTTACCCCGAGTACAAAGCCTGTCTGCAGAGGACAAGGAGGGAGCGACGCCCTCCTCGCTTCAGAGCCTCAGCACCAAGCGTTTATGAAAACGTCCCCGGCTGCAGCCGGAGGTGGCTGGGCGCCTGCTTCTGCAGCAACAAAGGGTTAAAAAGCGCTGAGGGATGGCCACCCTCACCAACCCTCCTGCTCTCCCTCCTTACATAATTTGCCATCCTTTTTGCACAACAGCTCCTGGGTCTCAACCCGCTCTCTCAATCAGTACCCTCATGTCCTCAGCGTCCTCCCACACGGGCAGCTCAGAGGTGAGGGCCGCACCTTCAGAATCTCTGAGGCTGTTTCCAAGGAAGAAGGTGGGTTTGGGGAGGTGGGCAGAAGTAGCAGAGAGGAGTCCAAAGTTTCTTCATGAAATAAAGGTTGCACCCCGGGCACAGGTGT